TTTCACAATAATAAGACAGTATTATCAACGAAACTAAATATATTACACTAGTCGATTAATGATATCATTTAATTTTGGCTATGATCACAATACTTTACTTGAGACTCCAATGATTACAAGTGATTTAGAAATCTTTTCATTTTATTTTCTTATATAACCCATTGATAATGGGTAATCAATCATTGGAAATTGGTATAACCTTACTTCAATTAATGCCGTTTTATTTGTGACAACTGGGTAAATTATCTTCGAAATTGTGGTTTTTAAACTCAGCAATTCAAATAAAAATGGGTTGCTGAATAGGTCACAGGATGTATGGATCTATAACGAAAAGTCATTTGAAAGTAAATATTTCTCCGCATAACTTGCTTTTCATTGAAATATTTTAATGGGATTTTTTACTGCACTAAAATCTGCTGAAGAAGGATTTTGTGTTAAAAGTTTTTCATAAGTATCTAAAGCATTCATTTATGTTAAAAGCAATTACTTACTTACTTACGCCTGCTACCCTTCATGGAGGACCATAGGCCGCCCACAAGCACTCCTCAACCAGCTCTGCCCTGAGCAATCTTTTCCACTTGTTTCCAATTGCTATTCATTTTTCTGATGTCTGTTTCCAATTCTCGACGCAGTGTGTTATTCGACCATCCCCTTTGCCATTTCTCTTCAGGATAGCGCTTGCCTCGTGATGCAGTGTGGTGATTTTCGTAATGTATTTCCTATCCACTTTCGAAATCTTTTCCCAATTTCCTCTTCATCTTGAAGCTGGTTTGTCCTCTACTACAGCAGGCTGTTGCTGATGGTATCCGGCCGATGGACATTCAGTATCTTGCGTAGACAACTATATATAAATACTGGTACCTTCTTGATGATAGTTGTAGTAGTTTTCCACATTTCAACTCTGTACAGTAGGACTGTCTTGAAGTTCGTATTGAAGATCCTAACCTTGATATTGGTTGACAGTTGTTTTGAGTTCCATATGTTCTTCAATTGTAGGAATGCTACCCTTGGCTTGTCAATCCTTACCTTTACGTCTACATCAGATCCTCCTTGTTTATCGATTATGCTTCCCAGGTACGTGAAAGATTCCACATCTTCCAGATATATTATAACCAGTTTGTTAATTGAGATAACCAGTCCATATCCATTCAAATATATTTTTATCTACATTAAAATATATTGCTAAATAATATTTAACCTCTACAGTAGCAAAACGTGTTCTCTAGATAGCATCTTAGTTACTCTAAGATTTGAATAATTTTTTATAGTTAGCGTTTTTTCAGCGAGTTAGTTTTCTACGGGATGGGGTCACTAACCCCATCCCCAACCCTCCTCCTTTATCCGGCCTTGGGACCGGCAGTAGCCCCCGGAGGGACTCCAGATGGAGTTAGTTACTCTAAGACTATACATCAAATTATATATTCCATACACTAAAGTCTAAAACATCATTTGAGATTATTTGGTATATGAAACATAAATGTTCAAGCAGAAACTTAAATAATACTCCGTGAGACATTTTTCTTCAAAAAATATACTTATTGATTGGTTGGTTGATAAACACTTAACTAAAGTGACCAAATAGATGGGTAATCATGAAGTAATATGTCACATTCAAAACAAATTCATGCGAAACGTATAATTTCTAAAAAATTTAACTTTAATCAACCAGAGTAATCATTTCTGAAATGATCATTTTAATATTTTGAAACCGTAGGCGTCAAGTTGAATACGGTGTATGAGAACCCACTTCCTTAGCTAGGAATTTTTAAATATCCCTTGAAATTTTCAATAAATACACATACAAATAATACTGTCTTATCGTTGGCTGGAGCTTCAGCAAAACTTGTTTTATGATTGCCTTCTCAGTGATTAGGAGTTAGATTAGAGAGAGTTATTTACAAGAATAGTATATACGTCTATTATGAATGTTTCGTTTTATTGAGTCAGGCTTTTCGACTGTGTAGCCTATTTACTATATAACTCAACAGCATATGAAAAGAAATAATTAACAAATTTGTACTAACTAAAGTAAACATTATCTATATACAAAAAATGCCTAAACAAACTAAAACAGATACAAATTATAAGCAAAGATAGGTAGTGGCTAGCAGTGGAATCTCGGACACTCGTTTCATCCTATAATGCTTGTGAATTAAGGTAATATCGATGCAATACGCACAGTATGCACATATGCCAACAAGAGACTGATCAATTGCAGTGCTAAACATTAATGGGAAGACTCAAGTACACAATACCAAGTGAATTACAGATACAAATTATTTATTGAATAGGAAATAATTATGAAAAATTTAAAAGGTCAATTAAAGAAATCTAAAATGCTGAACATTTGACCTTATCATATGTTATGATGATTTTGTTTGCTATACGATAAGTCTGTATATAGGCTTTATTATTGTTCACTAGGGTTATTTTAATGACAAAACACGTAAACGTCACATGAGAGAAACTTTACTACATACTCTCTTTAGATACCCACAAGATAAATATCATCTTTAAGAGTTGCGTAGTAAACTATATATATCGGTCTAAAACAATATTATTGCCACAACAGTTGATAGTATAATTAAATCCTCAAAATATTTATTTATTCTTTCAGGAAAAAAAAGTATTTCCCTTGACTACTAGACGGTATATTGACTTCCTATTAACAAATTGTAAATATTTTAATATCAAGACAAATTATCCACTTATAAATGTTATATCCTTGGTCAGTCAGTTGTTGTGATTCGAATCCAATTCACTTGACCTGAATAAGTCTGTTGGTATTGATGATGATGAATAATAATTGTATGATTCAAACATAGATTACATAAACCAGATAGACTTGGACAGGATAGTATGTAAACTAATAGTTTTCGAAGATAATATGTTTCGATAGAACAATGAGAAGACGGAGTTGATCTGATAATATGATTATCATTAGTCATTTGAATGAGACTACTAAATTGTTTCAGTAGGATTTAATAGTTTAGATATTTGAATTGATATTTATTATTATGAAACTATACATTTAACGATGCCAAAGATTGTCTCATATCGATCTTTGGACAGTAAAGTTCCATGTACTGTTTTTCCAGACAGTGTACTACTTGATCAAAAAAATCCGTAAGCCAACTATGCTGAAGAATTCGTCAGCGACCTCACGAAGTACTCCTCTAAAAATTCTTCAAATCAATAAAACTATAGCAAATCATATTTTAAGCACTAGATTTTATCTAAACTTTTAACTTGCAATGGACAAGAATTAAAATGAGAATCAAGATCTATCCATTTCATTTACTTTATCTAATGTTTTATGCTCTTGGGAAACATTATTCGTATCTCCACTTACATTTATCATGTCATATAACTTAGTAACTCATTAATTTACTGTCTTCGAATGTCGATTAGTCAGAAAATATAATCCATATCCCAAGTTATGTAGTCATTATCGCTTATCTGACTTTACATGGAACAAAATTTCAGTTGGAATTGTTTATGAGTTACACTGCTTTTCAGAGTATTAAATATCACACTTATGTAGGATTGAATAGCTCGAGAGCAATGTTGTTGTAGATGATCTCTGTGCTGAATACAGAAATTATCACTCAAAGGATTATTATTAAGTAACTAATTATTAATTGTGTAATGTTTTATGGCCTCAAACAGTTAAATCCGGTATTTCTATATCCTTGACTAATTCTTCTTGTCCGAGATATTTGGTCTTCTTACTTATATTGTTATACTAGTCCTATTCAAGACAACAAAGGTTATTCTCTTCAAAACTGGGTCTATATTTTAAATTAGACTAACGTTCCTTCCTAACATTTGGATTCTTTGAAACATACTTCATCATTCCGATGAGGGACTAGCATGACAAGCCGCGAAGAAAAACGAAAATCTAATACATTACTTGCATTGCAGATAACAATCCATCCCTATCGAAAGTATAGTTGTGACTAGAAACACGAACAAGATGTTTGAATAGTAATTGTTCATAGCCATCAGTCTTTTGTCTCTCATATCGTGCCAAGATTCATTGAATCACGCTAAAGATACATTCATCTCCAAACAGTGTTATTCAAATTACCGGCACATATATCTACCCACAAACTGGTGGAAAACTTACGAGGATATTCTCTTCCTAATTTGAGGTGTCGGGTTTACACTGACCTATCCTAAAAGTTAGTCAGTGTATCATCTGAATGCGACTGGTATTGGTATAAAATAATGGAGGGGAAAAGGATAGGATATCCCTTATGATATAATGTTAACGAACAACGATATCAAATTCTGGATGAAAAAAACTAGTTTTCTTGCTCTTAATTTCCGTACTCCGTTACCTATTACACAGTAAATATACATGAAAGCCCAATAACAGATTACTGGATTATATTTAGAAGTAAACATCCAATTTTTCTACTTAAGCAACGACTCCTAATTATTTCATAACAGGAGTGTCCAAATTCCACTCATATTTTCTATGTACTAAGAAATTTCTGGCGCATAAAATTGATCATGGGCAAGTAATGGATTCCACTTACTAGCACACATGAAATGGATTAATGATTTTAACAGTTCAGTACATCAATCGACAGAAAACTTGCTTTACTCAATGTCAACTAGAACCAGCTGTTCGGTAGAAAAACCCCAAATGTAAAGACCATACTGTCGACCAAAAGAACGCCAGCAGAAACCTGTAATCTAATACCTAGTTTAAAGGAGTTGCCTTAAAGTCTGTCTAGAAAAGGACTGTTGAAACCTAGTACTATGTTTCCCAAAAAACGTTTTTTCGTACCAGCAGTCATCTCTTACACCTTGATAAAATACAGACTAAAAGACAGCATAACTCGCTCAACTTACGAATAGCTCGGATTACTTTCTACTAGTTCACGTCTACAAACAGTGAATAAAATATCTAAATACTTCGCAAACAATTAAACTAAATGATAGCACGAAAAATACAATTGACATCGTAGAAGTGTACGAGCAATGATCACTGAATTAGTTATTTCAAATATATTTGCAAAACAGGTATTTACATGATTATATTTCAGAAAATGTAAACTGCTCGAACTAAACCAACAGTCAGACCGAAAAGCAATTACAACAAACAATAAATGCAACCGTGTTTAAACACAAAACAGTTCTATTTCGAACAGTATTATACCAACAGAAGCACTAACTGGTTTTACAGTATGCATTTTATCAATCAAAAATAATTAAATTAGTCCCATAGAAACATGAGTTAGTAAGTCATCTGCAAAGACCGAGATAAGTTTGAATATCGGTCGATCATTTTGTATCAAGGAGTTTCGTATTGAAGTAATTATTTGCAGTAAAATGTACAAGGCCCATATCAACCAGCTCGGCCAGATGTTGGAAGAGGTGCGTGTGATGAATTGGAGAATAGGGACTTATTAGTTCCAGTACCACTAGATCGCCAGAAGTTACCACTAGATGAATTACTACCTCTTTTTTGGCCATATCCAAAAGAACGTTGATTGTGATATCCTGTCCTTCTGGGATACTGCTGTGGAACAGTACCAAAAGTTGCTGAATTGAGGAGTCTTTCGTCCCGTCTGTTCATTCCTTGAGGATTTAGGCTGAATAAAGCACGATTTCGTTAAATTAGCAAGCAGTAGGCAAAAATCAACTAGAAATACCAAATAATAGACTAATAGGTACTAACAAACGGAAGCCATCTACTTTATCATAACCGATATATGATTTTGTGACAATGATAAGCTTAACATTAAACATGTAAACAGGGCAAAAACGCTCTAGTGATAAACAGAAGTATAAAAATTGAAAATTAAATATAACTAACTAACAAATTTAGAATACTCCACTCCAGAAAACCTAGCTTATAAGAAATTTTACTTTATGAATGAACGTATACAATTAAGTGTTTGGAAGGAAAAATGATCACGTTTTGGGTGTTAACTGAACCAAACCTCAAAGCTTGTTATAGCCCAAAGCCGCTAATCAAAAGCAGCGAATTATCGACCGGACCAAGGACGCGTAAAACACGTGCAAGCAGCCTAGAGTCCTGATTGGTCCTGCTTTCCGCCTAGCCCAGCCAGTTCAGAACACCAGTTTCAGCCTGTAACATGAATCATATTTCAAACATACTGAGTTTATATACCAATCAAACAGACCACAACGTACCAATAAAATATAAAACATTTGTACAAGAATTAGCCAGATGTGACTGTGAATGAGGGAGGCAGTGACTAATAGACGGAATAATTCAAGAATGGAAAATCGTATAATAACAGTTTATAGGTTAAAATAAAGCTTATGATAAGAGACATGAATATGAATAGTTTAGTTAATTAACAACTATACAGTAAAAATTTACGTATAGTATTGGTCCACAAATGGATCCCAAAAATTACCACTCATTGTTCTTATCGGGGTATAACAAAGCTCCAAACTTGACTGAATAAGAACAACAATATTCACAAATGTTTTAACCACTAGCATATCCTATTCACAGTACATGACATGACCCATAAGAGCTACATAGTGGATTCCAATACTAGGTGTAATCGATTATTAATATTACCTACTGAACTGAATAAGACTTCTGGGATAAAAAGTCACATATGATCTCAACGCCACCTTTTGACTGCCACGAAAATCAGTCCCACAAAATTAGTTGTAAATATTTGGAGGCTTATATCAGTTTGAAATGTTACTAGTAACTTAATTCTGAGAGGTGAGATTTGCTTTGTCTACAGTTAACGACTTATAATCAAAATACTTATGCTAACAATGTAAAGCATGTACTTGAATTTAGTTGCAGTTTCCAGCGCTGTAAAACATCCTTATGTAATTCGACAACAAAGTACATATTTATGCACTTAACTTCAAGTATCCATAAAATACATTATCCAATTATACTAACTAAACTAGAACAACGTTTTAGTCGCCAACCCTAAAGTTGAAAATCAGATATCTCGACATCAATGGTCACTGTCTCTTGATTTCATCGATAAGACATGATACGCTCATTGAGAAGGTACTGTGAGAATTCAAGTCGAAGAGGTTACCCGAATGTACTTTAGTATCAACGCTGATGTTGTTTAAAACCCAATATAATGCGAATGGCTGTAATATATATATATATATATATATATATATATATATATATATATATATATATATATATATATATATATATATATATATATATATATATATATATATAAGCACAGAGAGTAAGGAAGCCATAAAATCCTTAGGTCGGTTGTGAATACAAATTGGTGCTTGTGTAGTTTACAGCAGGTATCGAAATACTTTCTGACATGAAAAATTGACAAAACACGTTGTCTTAAAGGCATATTTTGAAAAAAAGAAATAAGGTTATACGTCGCACACTCAGAATTTCAAATGAAATTATTACTTACCCATTTGCGCGGTCCATCATCTCGGAACTAATAGTATCGAAAAACGACTTGGATTTATCATAGCACGTGGTTTCATCCTCAGTTGTGCTGCTACCATCATTTTCCGCGTTGTCGACGGAAGTACCTGACGAACCTGTTTTCTATAAACAGAAATCACAGTATATCCTACACTTACAGTACTGATCGTTATTTTTTCCAACTCAGCTGCAAGTTCTGCGTTAGCTCTTTCATAGTCATATTCTACCGAAAAATTGGTGTGCTCATTTACTGTAGATGCATTTGACCTGAATTTAGGCCAATCATGACCACCCGCTGACCGACCACCCCAACCACCATAAGTATGCCCAGAACCCCTGGAGCCACGATGGTTTGCTGACCATTGTTGAGTATATCCTCCGCGTCTATCTCTTGAGTAATCATGCCCTTGATAATAATTAGGTGTATTTTTGTGAGTGTCACCCTTTCTAACCCCTTGATCTCGGTTAACCCATGACTGTGGGTAGTCGTTATGCACACCAGATCCTAAGACGGCACGATGTCTAGAAGGACCTAGTCCAGACTCTTGAACATCCCTAGAACTTGTACCTCCTCTTCCAGATGTGCTGAAAATCCCTGGGTCTATGTCGCTACGCATATCGCCAAATGGTCTTTGGCCACGTGTATCAGAAACCTGGGGGCTATCAGCATGAACGGTCCCTATAGGAGCCGGCCGACAACCAACTGCAGGCATCTGGTACGAAGAATTGTTCGGGTAGGTATTCTGATTTAGGCTATCAAGTGAGACAGATTGAGATGCTGGTATGGGAGACAATTCTGAGCATCCAGTAGAAACACGACTAGGATTAAGGTCTGCAAGGAATAGAGTAACAAAGTGAAAACCCACCCAAGCGACCTCTACTTTCATTAACTGGAAGTCCAGGAGGGTGGGACAAAGCAGACTAATTACATAAATAAGTAGAGAAAGTACATACCCCTGGTGCTGCACTAACGATTGCTGAGTCTTCATTTAAAAATACAGAAGACTGCACGACACGTACATCGTCCAGATCCCGGCCACGAAACACCACCTGATTATACTCTTCATTCCGAGGAGCAACTGGTCGCTCACAAGGGCGGTCCTCAGTGCCAAAAGACCAAACTGTAATAATGAAACTAAGAAAGAACATTTAGTACCCTTTGAAAGAGTAATAACAGGTTCGTTGGGCGTGTCAAAATCTATAGAGTGAAGGTTTCCTTCATATCTTATCTTAGCCTTAGATATTATACTGACGCGACAGCCTATAATCGACAAGTCCGACGCATTCATCACAAATGGAGGTCAAGACTGACTAGGGCGCTAGAAGAATGTAGTGATACAAACAAAACCCCTGAAAAATGTGAATTACAGCATACACAGAGTTGAACAAAACATTTCCTTTATATAATGATTATGCCCTGTTCTTGTAATTATTTCGTACAAATACATGTACCAATTCTTCAAGAATCCAGTTAAAACTGACCAGTGTAGGGGCGCTTGAGTAAAGGTCAAACCACACTTATTTCAAAGTATATACAGTTTTCTACTGAGTTAATACTGATACATTTTCATCTTTTCTCACAAAACTTTGAACTGCCTGTATAATTTTGTCACATTTTCACATACCTTTGAGCCAACTTTCTGTATTCGGACCTTGGATGCTCTTTTACTAAGTGCTCTTATGAACAATAGTTTGTGAGTGAAGAATGTCAGATATAGCAGTCTGTATGGGGAACCGTCGCCGAATCTTCTTTAAATCTTCGATCATTGATACGGTGAAGTTTCAGTGCTTCCAGTCATCGAATCGGAATTAGTTTCTTAGTCCAAGTGCCTCATGAATGTCCTCTGGACTAACTTTTAAAAAAACGCATTTCTTGAAGTAAAAGTACGTAAAAACTAAAGCTTTCGGGAAATATGGATCTCCCTCTCACTACAAACAGTTTCAGATGATATGGAAATAAGGTTATCATATTGAAGTCACTTGGTAAATCCAGGCTGTGCCTACGGTTATTTCAAGTAAGTAGCACTTACCATTCATTATTCTTTAATGGAAGCACGTTGCTAGCTACCTTGTCACAGACTACGTACAAGAACCAGTAAATCTTACCGATATCCATATATTGCCATATCATTGGCTAAATAAATACAAAACAAAATGCATGCTTGGAAATCACTAATAAAGAATGAGCAGAAAAAACTGGTCTAAGGATGAAGCTCTGTGTAACTACAATAGTCCTGACATACTAGTCAAAAAGAATGGAACGTGATCGACCTGTATGAAGTTTTGACATCAGAAGTATTTATCCTTGCATAAATATCATTTTCCATCCAAATTGGCGTCTCGGATCACCTTTTGAAGGACTTACCGGACACTAATGAATTATTAGAGCATTTGATATCATGAGGATGATAATAGTGTTGTCGCAATTTTGAAGCCTAGTATTCCCAACATGAATGCTACGCCTAAAATCTGGGAGTCCGAGAGACGTCGACAAACCCTCCTCCAGTACCAAGCATCATTATTCGTAACTGTTGACCAAAACTCGGTGTCCTTATTCTGAAATCCTAACACTGACGATTACCAGTTGAAATCTCATCTGAAAAACTCGATGGAGGCCTGGCGTTATCATGCATGCAAGTCAGGGTCAAACGATAGTGGCAAGACAAGCATTGTTTCTGTTATTTCTGTGAACGGTGGCGGATTGTTACATTTGATTACAGCTTTCTTACAGTTGCTGGTATTTCAACTGGCCTAAATATCCTTGCTTATGCTGCCCTTATATTGTTGATGTTGCTCTATGTGAACTAGGTTAAAATCCACCCGGATTTTTATGCTAGAGTGTTGGGTAGCTGACTTCGCTGTAGACCTCCTAGAGACTATCATTCCCTATAATGTTTGTTAGGTGTGTGCTTTCAACTTGCGAGTGATTTCCTGATAATTTGTGTGGTGGAATAGTGATTTCAGTCTTAAGAATAGTCTTCGTTGTCCAATGACTTACAGTTAATTGGCCAAAATAAGGGAACTCATCGAAATATTGTAAAATGTATCGATCTGCATAACTTGACCAAAGATGACTTGGTTACATCTCATTTAGATAGCTTTTTAGCTCGCGTCTTATTTTGCTCTGGACACCGTACGTTGATGTTAGACTACTAGAAAACAGGTATGTCTTCTGATCATGCTACAGCCGTCCAGGCTGAAGAGTTTTCGTGCCTTGAAGTAACCCTCGTGCTTTTGATAGAAGAAACCAGACAAGTAGTGAATAGGTCTTTATTTCGATCTTAGCGCGGTGACAGTGGAGCATGGGATTATCTGTTCAGACAAACAAAGGCTCTCAACAGTCAATATAAGATGATAGGGAATATAACGCTTATACAAAACAAGGAAGTGAATGAATACTTGAACAATGCTGTTTTGGCATATGCTTGGTTGTTTGGGGTCAACTCTGAACCAACCAACCTAAGCCGTTACAGAGTCACTGAGACATGTGCTTTTTTAGGTCGAAATCTGCACGAAATCTATGAGAGCCACAGTAATGGGGAGCGGATAGGTGATATATATTCATTTTGGATTCCTAAGGAAAACGTATATGTACATTAATTTTTGATCCGAATTCGCAATGAGGTGATCTGTTTTCGACGAAATTCAGCGTTAGAAATACCACTTAGGAACCAAGCTAAACATCTGAACATACAAAATTACAGTAGTGGTTCATGTTTAGGATTTCTAAACGAAGCTTAGTTGTTTTGAGGAAGCCTTCAAACTGGTTTATATCCAACTGCTGCCATAATATATTAGGACAATTTACAGACTGGTAGTGACTAGTAACTACTCTCTCCACCACAACAGCCATAATTTAGCCGTGACTGAACAGCGATGCACTGAATGACAGGGGCTTGGACCTAAACGGTCTGAAGCATTGTACACGTTCCTTAATAATTTATGGTTTTGGAATTTCTTATTGACACTAACATTAACTGTTCTGTCATGTTGGACATTGTATTTCGTCGGGTATCACGTCGGGATCACCAGTTTCGTGCCTGTAGGTAACCTGTGCAATTATGGTCTACTATGATATTAGTGCTGCTCTGCTAGGGTTTAAGATATCAAGAGTTCACTTAATCTGCGAACAAGAAACAAGATTCGGTGACCAAAGACCAGTAAGCTAGCTATTGATGAGTCCCAGCTCCACTAACTATAGGGAGACGTTAAAGCTTGGAATATGAAAGTATATTCTACAAACAGCCAGAAACGAGTGATAACAACAAACAATTCAAAACGTATATATACAGCACAAAACCGTCCCTGGGGAGAGTTACCAAATAGCATACTAAAAGACGAAACGGACCATTAAAGATATTTCCCAGTGGGAAATACAACATGAAGGTGACAAGAACGCTTTTGGCGCGACAACAAAGAAACTCAAATTTTCTAAATAAAATTACAAAATTGGGTTCTTTCCCAAGTGAGTTCTGAGGATGTTCCCAATATGCTCTGATAGTAGACCTAGTCCTAAAATTGTAGATTTGTCATGATATAACTGCCCAATCTATTAGATCTTACGTGGAAGTCACACTGAATCATCGCATCGTGACAATTACCAATACATGATGGAGAACAAGTTTTGGCTAGAGATAGAACAATATATTTAATATGAATAAAATATATAAGGTAACATTCAAAGGGGACCACGCCTGCAAGGCCGAGCAGTGCCACTGAATTCAATTTATTCATTGTTTAGCCTTCTCCATCGTTGGGTTTTTCTCCGCGTTAAATGTTAAACATCTATCTTCCTAAGTGTCTCGTGTTCAGCTTTGAGGATTGTGTGGTTAGAGCCTAATGCCACTACATGCCCTCGTGTTATTGATAGAAGAAACCAGACTAGTAGTGAAAAGGTCTTTATTTAGATCGTCACGTAGTCACAGTGGAGTGTTGGACTACCTGTTCAGACAAACAAAGCTTTTCGCAATTCAGTATAAGATAATAGAAAATACAATGCCTATCCAAGATAAGAAAGTGAATTAATACTTAAGCTCTATCGTTTTGACATATACTTATTTGTTTGAGGTCAACACTTAACCAATCAACCTAAGCTGTGGCAGGTAATTATTCTGTTAAGGCTGGGGCTATTATTTATCGCATTTGCCGGTAATGAATGAAGACTTATATTTCAAGCTCATCTGCGCTTGATTCAACAGCACTGGTTATTTGTCTAATTCGACAATATTTGTTGTAGTTATGTCTTATGGCCGTGTCAATTATCATGTGACAAGATTGCCAGTTAGAACATCAACTTATATGACATTTTCTCGGATCCAAACTAGTGATATGTTCACCGGCATGAGTAACTTTATTGTAAATCGCGAGTTGGCTACTCTAAATTCTACCGATTGACTAGCTTCAGATATCCCAGTTCGACCCCAATACTGTTCCCAATCTCCAATATATCAGAACACGAACCGTAGATGAAAATTCGTTTATGGGGTCAGGAGCAGCAGAATAATGATTTACAAACAAATGCATATTTATACAGTTAGGATTACTATAAATATTGACCAACAGAAAGATGACACGTTAAATAATGCTGACCAATAGGAAAATGACACGCGAAATAAATATTGATCAGTAGGGAAACGACCAATAGGGAAATGACACCATTTAACGTTCACGGGTAGCGTTAGACATAACCGGATAACTGTTTTCGGGATATTTTTCTGAGTATCCCAACACCTCCCCCTTGGAGAAGTTAATAGCGACGTAACCGAGGGTTTACTTGAAGTTTCTTTGGGTGTCTTCTTTTGCGATCTGACCTCCGAGGCAACCTCACAGAACCAGAAGGATGTTCTACTTGAGTAGATGACTTAGTCGTCTCTGTTGGAGGTATTGGCGGACGTTGAAACGTGTCCAACAGCAAGTCGAGTGGGACGCGTTTTGTAATTGTTTCTTTCTCCTTCGCTTCCCTTGACCTGAGTTGATTGTAGTGCCTGGTCCAGATTTCTTGGTTCACCTTGACATCATACATGACGTTCCCACGTTTTTGTGTGATTTCACAGTCTACCCATCTATCGCATCCGTGTCTATAATCTCGCGCATACACTTTTGTGCCAACTTCGTAGGAAATTCGAGTATTCTTCATCTGGAGGCTTTGCTGGGCCACTTGCTTGGGTTTCATCGCACCATGAACTGTCCGTAGCTTTCGCCCCATAAGCATCTCAGCAGGGGATTTGGAGTTTGGCGACAAGTCATGCGGGGTCGTCCGGTACGCAACTAGAAATCGTTCTATGATATCTTCTGTGGTCCCCTCCCCTCGTGCTTTGAGCATGGCTCGTTTAAATGTATCAACGAACCTTTCAGCTTGTCCATTAGATTGCGGGTGATATGGCGGAGAACGAACATGGTTGATCGAATTTTGCAGGCAAAATTCTCGGAATTGGCTAGATGTGAATTGTGAACCATCGTCT